GGGTAGGAGAAAAGGAAATTCATCCGCCGTCTTGTTTCTGAGATAGAGGACTCGTCTGGTATCGGATTGAGACGCTCCTTGAACTGGTAGCTTCTTCTCGTCGAGAGCTTGAATTTGATATGTGACTAGTCATCTGGGTACACACGGTTTGGGAGATACGTCGCTTTGAAGATGTGGCCAGAATTAGGGTTTTGCTGCTGCCGCCTAGAGAGAGAGATACGATTTTGGTGGTTTGCTTCTTAGCTCTGGTAAGACTATCGTGCTGATAACGTGTTGTAAAACAAGAGGAGAATAAGAGAAGTAATGGGGAATTCTCTGTGTTTATTACTGAATGAATATACGTTCCTTTATATAAGAACTTACAAGAAAAGATAAATGGAAAGTATCCAAAACCTAATACAACAAGGAATTGGAAATCTACTAATACATATGACCGCCTATGTGTAAGTCATTGGGCCTCTATCTTCTTGGTCTTGAGTACCATAGGCACGTGGGCCTTATGATCTTGGTTATGGCCCATCCACATAATCGTCCATAACATTAGCCTTATTCTTATTGTTTTTTCAATAAAATTTAAAAAATGATCTTTCAGATAAAACGATTTGTTAGCAAAATGGCCACGGTTGTTGCTCACACGAACCGATTGGCACATATGTAGTTTCTTCTAACTGTGTTCTCAAACTATAATATAAAATGATTACTAAAAGAAAATAAAATAAACTGTAAAATGATGTAAGTGAGAGAACATGGATCCCACCTATATCGTATGCTTCCTATGAAAATAAAAGAAGTTACAACATTACAGTTAAACAATATTCTAGATGCAGTTATATTATATTTTATTCAATGATATTCTAGATGTAGTTATATTTTTTTTGTTGAACCCAACTAATATCAATTGGGCATCTTTCAAATTTAGTAGTATTGATAGAGTTTTGACTTTCATTAAAATATTTCTTTTAGCTACTCTATGTATATATTTACATGGTCTATCTTTTGGTAGATGCATGTTTCTTGTTGGACTACACTGATTTGGTTTGGTTTGAACATATATTGAACATATTATAAACTCTTGATGGTGACAAAAAAATAAATGTTGGTTTCAGTTGGAAATATTGAATATCATTTTTACAATGTACTCAAAAGCTTATGATTCTTTTTGTCATATAGTTTTAGTTTTCTTCATTTAAAATAAACTCAAATTTAAGCAAACTAATTCAATTTGGTAAATATTATTTATTTTATCCTAGATTTTCTGTTATAGATATTTAAAACATATAATAAGATGATTTCATGAAATAACACAACAACATTTTCCTAGAGCACCACAATGTCCGGATTTTTTTTTATTTCTCTTACAAAAGTCGTTGCACATTGCATCCCCAGTGGAATATCGCATTTTCCAAGTACATGGTGACATGTAGTTGGAGCAATTCTCATACTCAATTTCTCCATAACCTATTATATGAATACAAATCATTAAATCAATATGTATATTAATTAATCAAAATATTCAAAATTGAGGCTTAAATATAAACCATTATCTGAAGCAACAACGCTAGCTATAGTGCGATAATGAACAGAAGATACGATGAAAATGATAGTAAAAAAAAATATGATAAAAGTCCTCCTTGTGATAGTCATTTTTTATCTCTAAATTTTTGGATTGTGTTTCAGATATTCTCTTTAACTTTTTATGATTTTTCTCACACATTCTGATTATATACAAGAAAGCAAACATACATTTAAGATGTATTTATGTAGTTAAATATAAAAAATACTATTTCCTTTCATAAATATATTTAATCAACAGAAAATACAAGAAATCTATTATATATTAATTGAGAATCATCTTTGATTACCTGCATATGTGTCAACATTAATTTTTTTTTAATTTGATGTTCCTAAGTGTCATGATATATAATAAAATGGAACACTCATTAGTCATCTCTTATATACTAGTAATTGAGAATCATCTTTTAAGTTGTAACATTAACTACAACGCTTATGTGTCAACATTACAATTCTTTTCAATCTGATGTTTTTAATCATAATATATAATAATATATAATAAAGTGGATCACTCATTAATTAAATGTTCAAAATAAATCTACTTCATCTTTTCTTAAATAAAGTTCATATAATTATCTAATGTAATTTTTAATAAATATGAAAATTAATGATGTTGAGTAATAAATATTTGATAATAATTACTATATCTTCCCTCAATTTTGTTTAATATACAAAATAGTTTTTTTGTATAGTATATTTTGAATTTTAACGAATATAAGTTACTAAAATATTAAAAGTTCTACATTAAAATCCTTGTGATCAATAGTTTATATATATTTTAGTAATTATCGCATACTTATCTTTCACAACAACATTTGTATTTAGCACAACTATTCACACAACTCTGAGAGGTTGAAGCATATTAGCGAACTTTATTCCAAACCCTATTTATATGAATAAAAATCACTAAATATATATATATATATATATATATAAATTAATCAAATAGGAAAAAAAGAATTTTATAATTAAAAAGTGGGAGATAAAAAAATACCGATATCAGTATTAGCGGTAACTGAAAAAAAAAGTATTAGAAGTAATTGTAGTATAACAATGGAAAAAGTTACAATGAATAGAATAGTCAAACAAATATGATTAAAATAATAACGGAAGGTCAAGGAAGTTTGTGACTTTTCAAATAATATTATAGAGATTTGTATCAGCACACAACCCTTTTTTTTGACACAAAACATACTTATATTAGAAGCAGGAGAAGTTACCCCATGGAGGGTGCAGAGATACAAAGCACAGATTTAGTTAGTAAATCTGCCTCAGAGTTTGACAATCTAGGAATAAAAGACAAAGTAAAATTATCGAAAATGGAGGATAGAGAGTCGATATCCCGGACGATTCCGTAGAGTTCTACTGGTGGTGACTTCGACAAGATGGCTCGAACGAGCGGTTGGAAATCTGTGTAGGCACAGATGCTGAGAAAGCCCAAATCCAGGGCGTGAGAGAGGGCCAGCCTTAGTGCTAAGGCTTCTCCAATCAGTGGTGATGGCGTGAAGTCGAAGCACTTTGATCCATGCTGAGTAGATGATCCGTCCCTGTGTTGAAAGATCCAGCCACAACCTATTGCTCCGTTCGAGGGTCGCCAGGCTGCATCTGTAAACACCAAAACGCAGTTTGCTACAGTCTCTTCAATGGGTGCATAAGACGGTTCAATCAGTGAGCCTGAACCCAGTGTGGTTCTTTGCTTGGTATCCTGAGCCATCAACCATTCTCTAGCGCTTCTAATGGAGTTGGTCAAAACATCCGTGACTGAGAGAACTCTGTTTTCAAACACAAGATTATTTCTAGCAATCCAAATTCCCCAACAAATCCACAGGAAGATAGATATCGAAATTCCAGTGGGAGGGAAACAGTGCAGTTTTAACCCATGAAGAACTGCTTCATTTAGAGAAGAGAAATGCCCTGAGTCAAAAACTTGAGCAAGAGGAGCTTCAAACCAGATATTTTTTGCGAAGGGACAGTGCAAGATTAAATGTTCTGCTGTTTCTTGTTCCCCACATCTTGGACATCTAACATTGACCCACATACCTCTTTTTTCCAAGTTTGCACCTAGAGGCAAGGCTCCTTGAAAAAGCTTCCATATAAATAGTTTGATTTTAGGGAGGCAGGGTGCAGCCCATATCTTCTTTGTCCAACCCAACTCGAGTAAAGGGACATCACTAGTGTCGAGAGTTTCTCTATGCTTGGCCGCTATGATGTACCCTGATTTCGTTGAATATTTCCCATCTTTATTTGGAGGCCAGGAGAAAACGTCGGGGGCTCCCAATGTACTAGGTATAATACTCATGATTTCTTTTGCGATGAGAGGGAAGAGCTTGTTAATCCTATCAGCATTCCACTCATTTGATCCTCTGCGCAAAAGGTCTGAAACCATAAGATCCTGGTCTTCTTCTTTCGCTGGCCCATAGGGTGTACCTATAGATCCCGCTAGGATCCATTTGTCCTGCCAAACACGGGTTGTATTCCCATCACCAATTACTTTTCTCAGATGTGAGATCAACAAATCCCGACCTTGAAGAATGCTTATCCATCCATGGGACGCAGCTGATGCTGGATCGACTTCCAAGAAGTGTTTATTTTGGCAATATTTACCAATGAGGACTCGTGACAGCAAACACTTTGGTGCAGTAATAATACGCCAAGCTTGTTTAGCCAAAAGTGCTGTGTTGAAGAGTTGTATATCCCTTATACCAAGACCTCCCAGCATTTTAGGCAGCGTTAACTTATTCCAAGCATTCCAGCAGATCTTTTGTTTCTTTTCCGAGGTATCCCACCAGAAACGAGTGAGAGCTGATTGAATTCTTTTACAAAGACTCATCGGGAGCTGAAAACAAGTGCTTGCGTATGTGGGGATCGGCGACAGTACCGATTTAATCATCACTAATTTCCCTGCAGGTGAGAGGAGCCGAGAGGACCAACTGTTGGCCTTGACTTGGATCCGATCGACAATGGAGGTGAAGGTCTTTCTTTTTTCGTCCAAAATGCTCAGGTAGCCTAAGATACTTGCCTACACCACCTTCTTTGACTATCCCAAGGTGAGACTTGACACGGGAACGTGTCTCCTGAGGAGTTTTAGTCGAGAAGGTGATGGAAGACTTGTTGACGTTGATCATCTGACCCGAAGCTTGCTCATAACTGCGGAGGATGGACATTAGAGCTGAACAGCTCGCTGTGTCTGATTTGAGAAAGAACATAGTATCCTCCGCGAATGATCAGCACAGAACCCAAAATTATAACCCCACTTCCTCCAAAATTTAGCGCAATTTATCTCTACATCTTCACACAATTCTGTTATTAAAAAAAGCCCAGTCAATTTCTAAAAAAAAATCAATTTAGGTTTGGTTGATTAAAAAAATAATCAATTTAGGTCACCTCTCTCCATCTCTCTCTCCCCAAGGATACTTTCTTTTCTGATCGTCAATTCCAGTAAGCAAAAAGTTTTCAACTTTCATCAATTCGATTGCTTTCCCGTCTCTGGGTTTCAAATTTCTCGAACTTTACAGTAACGATTCTCTCTGATTCCATGTCAGTGGAAGATGAATCGACCACAGAGCCTCGCGAAGGCACTAAATTTGAATCCGAGGAAGCGGCCAAGATGTTCTACGATGATTACTCCAGAAGTTTAGGGTTTGTGATGCGTGTAATGTCTTGTCGGAGATCCGAGAGAGATGGAAGAATCCTTGCCCGGAGATTTGGTTGTAATAAAGAAGGTCACTGTGTTACTGTCCGTGGCAAGTCGGGTTCTGTAAGGAAACCAAGACCGAGTACGAGAGAAGGTTGTAAGGCCATGATTCATGTTAAGTACGACAGGTCTGGTAAATGGGTCGTAACTAAATTCGCTAAAGAACATAACCATCCGCTTGTCGTGGAGCCTCGACAGGCTCGTCAGAGTTTGGTGAGTTGAGTTCGGTTAAAGTTATGTCCTTTTTGTGCATTGTTTAAGCATAAAATGTGGGAAACCGTTTTGGTGTATTGTATAGGATGAGAAGGACAAGAGGATTCGTGAATTGACGATAGAGTTACGGAACAAGAAGCGGTTATGTGCAGCGTATAAGGAACAGCTGGATGCGTTTGCGAAGATTGTTGAAGAGCATAGTGATCGGATGTCAAAGAAAGTTGAGAGTGTGGTTGAGAATTTGAAGGAGTTTGAACATATACAGCTTGAGTTTATTGCATAGTAAATAAGATGATTTTCTAAGTCAACTTTAAATATGTGCTTCTTTGTATATTATTTCTTTGAATCTGTTGAGATTTCTTTAACGGCTTTTCTCTGGCCTCAGATTGGTTTAGTGTAATATAGATGTTGTTAGATCTTAGTTTTATGGAATGTAATGTGTGAGAAACTGTGTAACCATATAGATAAGAAGAAAACATGAGTGTATACATACAAATCAGGTCTCTCGACATGATTTAGCTGCTTATGCAGTTCCCTTGGTCTACTACAGAAGTACATATACGCACACATCACATACGGATTTACACTATAATTGTAAGTCCCACATCAAACAGAGAATTGATGTTGAATGAGAGTAATACATAAGTGTGGGTAATCATTCACTTTTGAAGTAATTTTTATATGAATTTGATTCATTACCAAAGATTTTCACAAACTTTACGTTTTAGATGTTCAATCTTGAACGTAAAGGGTCAAAATTGATGTTGAGTAGGAGTTAATATTAGACCTGGGCAAAAAAAACGGAACGAACCGAAATATACGAAACCGGAACCGGACCGAAACCCTCAAATACCCGAATGGTTCCTATATTTCTATAACCGAAATAACCGAACCAAAAACCGAATGGATACCCGAACTATATATATACACAAGATTCATACATATATGATATATGTTAATAATAACTATATACCCATAAGATGTTAAAGAAAAGAAAAACAATATACCTATAGGCCATAAGTTTATAGATATATATATATCAATGACCCAATATTCAGTTTCCTTTATTCTTGAGAAGCAGAAGGTTTTGTCGATCTAATCCCTTAATTTTTGATTTTTTTAGTTCTTAATGTTTGATGATGTGTAAACAATTAAATTAATATTATGGTGTTTGAATTTTATTTCAGTTTGTTACCTTTTTTTGTTGTTTATGTTTCATATTATCCGAAAACTCTGTTCTTGGTTATTTTCAAATATTTTGGATATTTATTATTTGAAATAACCGAACCCAGAACCGAAACCAAGTAAGAACCGAATTGTTTTGGGTATTTTTTGGTTCCTAATTTTATTATCCGAACCGAACCTAATTTTATTCTTTCTTTGAAACTGTGTAACCATATAGATAAGAAGAAAACATGAGTGTATACATACAAATCAGGTCTCTCGACATGATTTAGCTGCTTATGCAGTTCCCTTGGTCTACTACAGAAGTACATATACGCACACATCACATATGGATTTACACTATAATTGTAAGTCCCACATCAAACGGAGAATTGATGTTGAATGAGAGTAATACATAAGTGTGGGTAATCTTTCACTTTTGAAGTAATTTTTATATGAATTTGATTCATTACTAAAGGTTTTCACTAACTTTACGTTTTAGATGTTCAATCTTGAACGTAAAGGGTCAAAATTGATGTTGAATAGGAGTTAATATATATAAGTGGCGATTTTTCATTTTTAAACTATTTTTTAGATGTGAGTTAGAGTCACCAGTAACTATATTGATTGGAAATCTTAAACAATCTACTAAAGAACACTAAACCAGATGAAATGAGAAGGTGAATCTTACATAACTTTAGAGAAAACCTAAAAAGGAAAAAAAATTACACACTTGATGCATCATCACAAAATTTATATACAGATAACAAGAAAACAGACAAATCAATAGAATAAACACACACACATACTCTCTCGTGTTAAAACCTAATTAAGGATCAGTTACTGCTGCTAAGGCCACCACCTTTCATCATCTGAAGAAACTCTTTGTAATTAACTCTACCATCACCATCAGCATCCACTTGCATAATCATCTTCTTGCAACCTTCTAGTGTTTTACCTTGCTTAAGTCCCAATGAACCCATCACAGACTTCAACTCCTCCACAGTGATAAACCCATCTCCGTCCTGGTCAAACACGTTAAACGCGTCTTTCATGTCTTCTTCCTCTGTTTCACCATCCTTGTGATGCTCATCAACAATGGAGCTGTACAGGGACTCGAACTCGTCTATGTCCACGCATCCGTCACCGTTGGCATCGATCTTGTGGATCATTTGAGTCAGGTCTTTGTCTGGTATGTAGATTCCAAGATTCTCTAGTGAGTCGTTGAGCTCTTCTTTGGTGATCCGACCGTCTCCGTTCTTGTCAAAGGTCTGGAAAACACGTTTTAGCTCGGAGGGATCTGTTTTTCTCGTTGGCGCAGAGGATGGTGAGGGAGAGGGTAACATGGATGAGTTTTTGTGGAGAGTTTTGTCGAACCAAGAGAGAGAGAAGAGAGTTCGCAGCTTCTTTGGTACTAAAGAGAGGATAAAAGAGTTTAAGAGATTGTAGAGAAGGAATATTCTCACCATAATTGTTGAATTAAACTCTGATTTTTATATATCTGAGGAAAACAGAGAGGAGATATGAGAAACAGAGAGCTTAGAAACAGAGCTTTGGTGGTAGAGAAAAAACTTGGAACTTCTTGTTGTTTTATAGAGGGAGAGAGAGAAGAGAATTTAATTTATTATAATTAAAATAATACTTTTGTAGAGAATTAAATAATACAATTTCGAGAATTTTTATTTGTCACTATTATATTACCGTTGAAGCTATTGTCATCGACATTTACGTTGCTCTTTAACGTTCTTTAATCTTAACTCTCTCTTTTTGGTTTGGAGAAAGTAAACAGAAATGGGAAAAGATTCAAAGAAAGAACACGAGTTAAACGACTAGTAGTGTATCAAACAAAGATAATGAGAGATTAGTCTAAACATGACTTCTCAAACATATTTAGAATAAAATGTTTGAATCTCTAGAGGCTTATCAAAATGTTAATAGCCTAGCAACAATGTAAATAGATTTTTTTATAGGGTTTAAACCATCTTCATTGCGAAAGGTTATTATTAAAAAAAAAAAACTAAATTCAATTTTTAAAGAAATTATGAATCTAAGATCCAAAACTTAAGGAATTATTTTTTTAAATCTATAGATTTGTCTTCGATTCAGTCTAAAGTTATTGACAATAAATTGAACATTACTAGTATTACTTTGGAAAACTTTACAATTACTGCAAAGAAATATAAAGATTTGATCAATGATAAGTAGCGTGTTTAAAATTTTGGCGTGTAAAAAGGAAAGTAAGTGAAATAACTATATTTTTATGTTCTTTATCTTTTTTTTTTTGAACTTATTTTCTTGATCTTCTGACGAAATTTAATCCGTGTTACTAACATTTAATGTCAAAAATATGTCTTCATAAAATTTCAGATGTATAACCTTTTTCTGATGTATTACTTCGCATAACAAAGGTTTTAATGATCACCTACGGCAAGTTAAAATGCTAAAATTAGATAAATCCGCATTCTGAACCTATGAAGTATATGTACCATATTAAACGAATGTTAGTATAGGAAAAAGGATGTTGATGTAGTAAGAAAGGTCACTCGATATATTCTTCTATAAAAGAAGTAAATAAGATGCAGAAAACGCGTGAAGAAGGTAGAGGTGTAGTTAGACATATACATCGCTTTTGTGTTAAATTATAAAGGAAGTAATGTCCAAAACGCGTTGTTATAATGGTTGATGTTTGGTTCCTGTCCCCATTTGCTTGGTTATTTTAACTTCTTTTATGTGATAAATGTGCCGGTCTTCATTGCTGGGTAGACTTTACACCACCACTTTTTATATATTTTTGTTCAAGTGGTCTTTATGCCTCTCTCGGGTGATATAAATTGTCAAGACAGACATACGTTTTAGTCGCAACTCACTACATCAACAATTGAATGTAATATTCTTTCTAGGAAAGCAAAACAACTGACAAGTGTTTGAAAGCTTTTTCTGAACGGTGTTTGAAAACTTTCTAATGATGAAAACTTAACGGGTTTGATAATCCAAAGAAGACGTTGGGGACCAAAAAAACGCGCCAAGAATGACGTCAAAGTTGTTATGACCGTTGGATCTCCTCATTTCACAAAAGTTTGTCGCCATTCCATTTGTTCACTTCTCCTACGTGGTGGAGTGGACCTACTTTCTCAACAACCAGTTACCACTAGGAATTAATAGTAACATTTTAGTAAAAAGAGCTGCTAGAGTATAGTGGGAAATGAGTTAGTAGTCGTTGGAAAGTAAACAAAAGAAGAAATATGTTGTAAAAATAACATATAGAAATGGCAGTAAATAACAAAATAGAACTAACCTTGCAAACAATATTCTGAAAATGTGAACAAGAAAATAAGAAGTAGAGTTAACATTTCAACAACAATAAACAAGGGGATAAGTAGTAGAGCTTGTCTACAACAAACAAAAATAATAGATAGAGCATGAAGATTAAACTGATCAGTTTTGTTATTAATGTAAAGTATAGTGTATTATAATTAAGAGTTATCATAGATTCTCACGGGGTGTCATGTAACTGGCCGGGATCCACGGACACTTGACTTTGTGAGAAGTCTCATGGATTTCATGGTTGTCATCCAGCTCAACTAAGCCATCTCCACTCATAATTCATACCTATAATTGTCATCATTTACTGTATTTTTCTATTGTATTTCACTTCATCACTTAATTTCAGTACCAACACCATATCAGTACTGAAATTCGACTTTGAATGGAAGAGGATTTTCTTCAGGTTGACTCTGAAATTTCAGTACCAACACCATATAAGTGTACGTTAAAGACTTTCAATCGTACATGTGTCATTCTGTAAATCTATACCTAATCAACCGGTGGATTAATAATTGGAATTCCTTTCGTTCCTACTAAAGTCTAAAACATAATACATCTCCAAACTGTTTTACGCAGCTTTACTTTTTAGCTTAACATGCAATATATATAACTCCTACTCGCTATAATATGTGAAAAAAGAACATTTCTATCAGCGTAAGCAATTGACCTATATTACACACTGAGGTTGTAGGATAATACACGGGAAAGCGGCCATTTCATACCCAACCTATCGCGATATGTTCAATTCATATCCGATTTATATGGTCGTGCCAAAACATACCTTAACATATATGATCGTGCCAAAACATACCTAACTTATATTTTTTTGGCAAAATCATACACCAATAGTCTCATCAGCTGCCACATCATCTATTTTTCGTTCGCGTGGATACTATGTCAGCTAATTTTACTGACGAGGATGCTATGTGTATAATTTTTTAATAAAAAAAATTAAATAATCATTTAAGAAAAATAAATTTTTAGAAAATGTAAAATTTTATTATTTAGTTAAATTAACAAAAATTTAATTAATTAATTAATTAATTAAATTTTTGTTAATATTACTAAATAATAAAATTTTATAAAATTTTTACATTTTCTAATAAAAATATGTTTCTTAAATGACTATTTTTTTCAAAACAAAAATATTGTACACATAACATCTTTGTCATCAAAATTAGTTGACGTAGTATCCATGTGGATAAATATAGATGATGTGGCAGCTGATGTGGCGACTAATGTATGATTTCGTCTAAAAATTATAAATCGGATATGTTTTGACAGGATCATGTAAGTTTAGGTATGTTTTGGCACGACCATATAAGTCGGGTATGAATTGAACATATCGCAATATGTTGGGTATGAAATAGCCGTTTTCCCGATAATACACACACACGTTTTGGAAGAGAGAAAGCATATGCATGCTATCTTGTGATTAGTTGACTTTCACCCTATTAATAATTTAATATCGACAATAAGCATGTTCTATTTATGTTTTTCTATTTGTTATTGTCACCAATACGGAAGATTATATGTTTGCTATTATGGACTTTTATACTCAAAGATCCATCAGTTGAAGAAGTACTAAACAACTTGATAAAAATATCTTCACAAAATTGTTAAATTAGTACTGCCTAATCTCTAAAGTCTCAAAAGCAAAAATCAGTTAATAATGGTAAAAAAAGTGCCCACACGCAGGATCGAACTACGGACCTTCAGTTTACAAGACTGACGCTCTACCACTGAGCTATACGGGCCTTTGTTCTCTAATGTCTGTATAAATAGATAGAGACTGACTGAACCATGGGAGAAGCGATTAAAATCATCATTGGAGATGGACCATCATCAATCGGAGATCCAAGTTAATTTTCCTCATTCGACACTGAGATCTTATTTCAGATATTCTCGATCCCAGAAGAGACACAAGTACGAGAAAAAGGTCAAATCAAGATGAAATAACAAATCTTTCCGACCAAACTCTTTAACTTCCGAACCCACTTCAGTCAAGTATTACAAATACGATTTTTTCACTATCTTTTAATACGTGATAAAAAAAACGAGCTTGGAAAGGAAGTAAAAAATCCAATCTTTTGATCTATTTCATTCTCCTCCTCCTTGAGCACCAAGTAGAAATCTTTCAGAACTCTCAATCAAAATCGACAAAAGCAATGAACGGGACCCACCGTCACCATCTCCTTCAACTAGTCTTATCCTGCCGTAAAATCACGGCGCAAGTGACTCAACCAGGAACCTCCACCATCATAGCCATGGCTTCCTCCTCCGAGCAAGAGTTCCTTGCCAAGAGCCGCGCTAATCTCTACCGGTTCCCTCGTTCCAACAACTTTTGGGACTCGAAGACGGCCTCTCGCGTCGGCGAGAAGCTTGGTCTGCGTCTCAGAGAGCTTGGTGTTGACGCAGTCTCTATTGATGCGGAGGAAGAGATCTCGCGACCCGTTCACCACCGTAAAAGGGTTTTGCCGTTGTTTGATTCCGTTCGTCGCAGTGGAATCATAGTCGATGGAACTGAGCAGTTAAACGATGTCGTTCCCAGAGATTGAGGTTTACTTTTAATTTTTGTCCGCAGGTTTTTTGTATGAGTGAGAGAGATTTGCAGGAACATAGAACATTTTTGATTTTATACATTTCTGGTTTTTATGCAACCATCATTTTTTGATTCTGTAACATAAATACTTCTCATACAATCATACCAATGCTGAACTGTTAGATGTTAGGTTCACTGATCATCCACAAAGACAACATGTTATGTAATCATCACTATGCTTACTTGCAACTACAATGTGTAAAATACATTTTCATCCATTAATCTTAGTAGAATTATCTACGTGTATCTACATATACAATCGAAAACTAATCACACTTCTCTAGAAACATGTATAAGAAAAGAAGATACTTCTTTTGAAAAATGAAGGAAGCACCAAGATAAATATAAAATGGAGGCATATTGATGAAGACTTCAATATGATATTGCACTACATTATACAACAAGAGAAGTGTTTTTGTATTTTCAATTCTTATCAAACTGATGCAGCTTCATGCGAAGTAAATTCCTTCTACACTTACTTGAGGAAGAACTTCCAAACATCTCTATCAGTAGTTTCCTTAATCAAATGAGCTCCTAAGATAGTTTCCTCATCCACCAAGTTCCTCAAATGTCTCGCTCCACTGCTGAATCCCACATACTGCTTCTTGGCCGCCAAATACACCACACCATAAGGCGGTCTCAGGCACTGTTAAAGAATCAATAAACATCACTACAACAAGGAAACCCCCACCGAGTCAAGAGAAGGATCAAAAACCAACCTTCTTGATGAGAGAATATAGTTTCTTGAGAGAAGTAACCGAGTAAGGAATCTCAGTCATTAGTATAACATCATACCCACACTCTCCTCCTTGATCAGTCTCGTTGGCTCTTTCCCAAGCTCTGCTTCCAGAGAGCTTCCTTGATCGCCTTAAGAAGAAATCTTGTTGTCCTGTAATGCTCCCATCTTGGCTGCTACATCCGTCATTGAAATCTTCCTCTGAGAAACTCAAGCTCATTGCCTGGTTAGCAGCTGGTTCGAAGACATCGGTTCTTATGATGGATAAAACGGTTGGGAGCTCTTCCCATTCTCCTGCATAGAAACGGACGGATGCTGAGACGGCTTGTCTTGATGGTGTGTGTGGCTCTGGCTGACGGCTTTGCCTGTCCCGAGCTTGATCGAGGTTTGCAAGAACGTTTGGGATGGTTGTACATCTAATTGTTTCTGCATTTAAGTCTTGAAAGTGGACTGAGGAAGCACCCTAGCAAAAATAGATTAGCTTATGAGAAATGTGACAGTAACAGCTTTCTTCCAGTGTTGGTTTACTTACTTTCAAGCAGGCAAATATCCCAGGAACTCCATAATTGCAACCTAGCTGCTCAAGACGCCATACAAAAGGGGGACAAAAGTATTATTAAGTTAGAACATCTATAATAGCTTCACATAGTAGTACAACTTCAGATGAAACATTCAACATGAAAAAGAACTTGATGTCGAAGAGCGTCTTAAGCTCATTGCAGGATACTGAAGTATATAAGTGTTAAGGGACTCTTCAGTGAGAAGGTTGAGGGGAAGTACCTCAAGGACCCTTTTGCCCCTGAAGCTAAGTTGTCCATCGCGGATCTCGTTTTTAAGGACATCAACAAGGACAATGGAACTATCCCAATTTTTCAAGGAACCTACACACTCATTTTGTAGATAAATACAGTTTATTATGATACATTAAAGCATCAAATGCAGTGCATGTGAAGCACTTACCTTCGTATTTAGAAGGAGCAGTTTCTGAACCAGAGAGCCCGATGATATCAGCAACACTTACTTTTCCCTGCAATAGGTTTGAAAATCCCAGTGGATTGATAAGTTTACTTTCATTTCTATTGGTTAAAGCTTAGATGTGGTTGTTAACTGTCTTTAAAATTAAATTATTAGTACCTTAAAGACTTGTAAACCAAGAACATCTAGATTCTCCGCTGAATACTTGTGATGAGCTGCTGACTACAAGAGAAAGAAACGAAGTAAGAATCAGAACGACAAGGTATAACAGGTCTACTCCAAACCTAAAATGGAGAAGAACAAATATTTATTTCTCTCAGATTTATATGAAGATGTAATGGTAAATTACATTTAATTAGTCATAAGAAACTACAACTTCTTTATTAGAAAGCTAGTATAATGGTAACGATGATAAAATCATACAATGGGCAATGAGCAAAAAAACCTTAGAAGGGATGATCTCTACAGCTGGAGTAGGAAGCTGCAAATCCTTATACGATAGTGCAGACACACCGCCACGATCCTGAGGAAGCAAACCGGGCAAGCATTGCGTAAACAAAGATGGTGCGCGCATTCTTTAGCTTTGTAATAATGCTCCAATTGTAACAAATCTAAAGTTATCAAATAAAGATCCAATCTGTAGTAAATGAATAGCCACTCTGAACATCTTTGATTCTAAAACCTTTTAAACCCCCAAAACCCTTCAAATAAAGATCCAATCTTTCCTATATATCCAAGTACAGAAAAGTCGTAGAGCGACAGAAGTCAAAAACAAGAGCTTTACAGATTCGATACTAGCCCAATTGCGAGATCTACTAGACAAGGGATCATAAATCAAAAGCAGAAACCATCAATGAAAACAAAAGTGTTCTTAATAGCCAGTAAGTAACTTCAACATAAAGTAAGAAACTTTAATTCAATTTCATTTCTAAACAACCGACTACTTATCAAGAAACAGACAGTGAAGATTTACTTACAGATTATTTGCTTGCTTGCAGAGGAAAAGAGTTAAGACAAAGCGATCAGTGGAGAATGTTATGGAAACGTAACTCGATTTAAACGGAAGAAAGAAGGGAAACTTGTCTAACACGACGGCGAAAATCTAGGGATGAACAGCAAAGGAGGGTTGAAATTTCAGACCGAAGAGATCGCTCAACACGTTTTAAAGTAAACAACTTTAAATTCTTTTCTTTTAGAAAAAAAAAAATCTAAAAAGGAAGAGGGAGTTTGGCCAACAAATCGAAGCTTCTGTTCAGACCGTCTGGTCCGCTTTTGTATATCTGTCCGAATTATTTTATATTTCTAGTCCCTTCTTTTCTTCGCTAATTCAGGAACTCACCACTTTCTTTTTATTTTGATCTGATTAGTGACGTCTATCTCTATACTGAACTCACAGTTTTAACACCCAACTAGGATTTGATAGGTGACATAATTTTTTTTTTTTTATAACAGCATAATAGTAAACTATGATATATGTATTTCTTGGTCAGAAAACCAAACTGGAGTCGTAGAATTGACATATTATATAATAGAAAAAGAATATTTATCACCATGTTTATGCTATTAGATTATATGTCACATATTTTGAAGGTAGGGTAGAAAATATTATTGCAGCAAAACTCCTCAAAGTGTGTAACAAAAGCTGGTCATTCTTCGGGTGATGATGCTATCTTCACCAATTGAGAGAACAGTTGATTACAAAAACTATGTTTGAGAAATTGAGAATCTTCATGCACTCTATAACCCATATCAAAGCCTCATATTTTGCATGTAAAACAGATAAGCTTCTTTCGAAAATTTATTGCCCGCATCATCTTTTCTTCAGACCCATTCATTCGATAGAACTATCCTTGTCTTGAGAACTTATCTTGGTCCCTCCAGGTACCATCAACAAAACAGACTTTATAATGCTCTATTAAGAGCCACTTTGAAGATACAAATTTGTCCTACTCCGTTCCAGAATTGTAAGTCGGACTTCTGTCCAAACCTCATTTTCCACCTCCGCAATACCAAGAATTTCTTGGGGATTTCCATTCTTATCTAAATAAATTTTCTTATTTCTATTTTTTTTTCCAAATATACCACAAAATCCAAAGGAAAAAACTAAAATTATGATCCTTTGGTAATCTCTAAAACATGTAATCCATATTAGTGAAAACAATGATGTTAGTAATACACAAATAGAAGAAGGTATCTTCGACAAAACCCAAATTTGAGAGTTGGAGGACATTCAAGTAGAACATGATTAATAGATTCTTCCTCAGCCCCACAAATGTTGCATTGCAAATCACATTCTATACCTCTTGACCTCAAATTTTTTTTGCAACTGGAAGAATTCCTTTTATAGTTTGCCAAATAAATTTCTCAATTTTGGTAGGCATTAGAGTTTCCAAGTATGGCTCAATAATAGGTTGTAATTTGGTCCATACGTAACCACTTGCTGATCTTTATCGGAGTACAAAGATTCTATTCTATATTCTGATTTAATATTATATTTACCAGAATCTGTAAACGCCTATCCATAGGAATCTGGTATGTGGGACTGACTGATAGTCAGGCCTTGAATATTTTTAATATCATATGAATGTATGTAAATGTTAAGCAGATTTACATTTCATAACAATTTAATTGGATTAATGAGATGGGTTATCTTCAGAGAATTGTCTAAAATTTGAGATGAATTTTTTGGAATTGCTGACTTCAGACGAGGAAGAATTAGTGACATGAATTGCATTTGATTAAATTTAAGTTAGAAGTATAACTTAAAAATATTACCAGAAATTAGATTTAATTCGTTTGAGTTAACTTTTGAACTATAATATATTATTCTTGAGTTATAATTTTAAGTTATCACATAGTAAAATATTACCATAAATTAGATTTAATTCGTTTGAGTTAAATTTTGAACTATAATATATTATTCTTGAGTTATAATTTTAAGTTATCTCATAGTAAAATTGATAATTTATGTGTTAACTCAACATCACACATTTTTCATGTATTAATAGTTGAGTTAATCATATTTGGTGTTTCACTAGTTATCCTACGGTTACTTCTTTTTTTTTTCTTTCTAACAATTTGAATTTTTAATGTAGCCATGTACCACGTTTAGGCTTCTTAGTTGTTGATTTTTTTTTAAAAAAAATAGTTGTTTAGTAGTTAGTCAAAATGTTTATGAACTATTGTTTCCCATTTGAATTATTTTTAATAATTATTCCAATAAATTTAGTGCTAATTCTATTTAGTAGTTAAAATATTACATAGATAAAGTTTATGTAAATATATAGGTATCATTTATTAGAATATATACATAAGTATATTTATTTAATTTCAACTTAATTTAACTTACTTTAATATATTTTTATAATTTTTTAATTAAATTTATATTAAATTACTTTATGATTGATATGCATGTTTATAATAAATTATTAATAGATACTCTAACTTATATATCAAAAACGTTACCATTCAATAATTTTAAAAATATATCAACTCATATTCTTACAGTGAACTAGCTGCATAAATCTACAGTTTCTACCACATAACTTTTACTATCAGTTAATTAATCAAATTATAACTGTTATTGTAATTCATTTCTAATTCAACATGCCATCAGTTAAAGCATAGATTAAGATGTGTTATTTATGCGGTATGAATATTGTATATATAAATATTTTACTTAATATTATTTATTTATGTTTAAACATTAGAATAATAAATATACATTAAAAACTTTATAAGTCAGTAACTATTCCATGTATAAAAAATTAATAGGTGCATATAAATTAAAACAATAATTCTTATTTATTCTAGTAAATAAATCTAAAAAAACAATTTTCTCTATTTTATATAATATATAGTTAAATTTAAACAATATTAACATAAATAAATACAATATATATATTTTAATATGAATATTTATTAAATGAAGCTTTCTATTGTTTTATGATCATTTGTAATTTTATAACAAAATTTTAAATCATTGATAAAAAAAATTCAATATGAGAATTTTAATAGTTTGAATAATTCATAATTAATTTTTTTAAAAAATCAATATAAATTTTAAAATTAAAATATTAAATTATCAATATTTTTCATTTCAAATTTCAAATATTTAAGTATCTTATATGATATATATTTTAATTTTAACGATTTTTAATAATATTAACTAGTCTAGTAATCAAGGTAATTACCGTAACTCTTTTGTTAATGAAAGGTTTACACGTAAACGTAATAAACTGTTATCTAAAAAGAGTAGATATTTAGAGGAAAATCGTGGTTACACGTGGCTGTGCACGCAAAATAAGAGCCACTAGTTAATTTAACGGATAACTTTGTCACACGTGTGCTTTAAGCGCGTGAGTACTACTAACACGATCAAGGGGCGAAGATGGAGTATGATTCAACTAAAAATAGAGGTTAATAAAGCGAGTATCAAATGTATTACACCACCGCGAGAGTGGTATTGTCTATTTATTTAGTTTGGTAATAATAAGACAACCTTATCCTAGCTTGCCACGTTCCTAAAAAAAAATAGAAGAACTATTATTGTCTTGTAGTCTTCGCCAGATGATCTTCTCCGTCTCCTTCTTTCTCTTTACGTTTCTCACGTCATTAAATCGTTTTTTTCTTTCTTCTCATTTACCGTCGGCGACTTCTCAATCCAAATACTCCGATCTTATCCTCCTCGAATCTCGGAGTTTCCCACCAATCGCAATCTGTTTTAGCCGTAAATTACAAAATTTTGATCCCTCTCTTTTAGTATTCGCTTCTCTTCTTGTCCGGAGCTTTGCGCGAAAAGAGTAGTAATTAAAAAGATGACATTGACAATTCCATCGGCACCTGGGAGCTCAGGGTACTTGGATATGTACCCTGAGAGAAGGATGTCTTATTTTGGCAATTCTTACATTCTCGGTTTGACCGTCACTGCCGGAATCGGTGGTCTCCTCTTCGGCTACGACACAGGTCTCCCTTTGTCTCTCTCATACTCATGTTTCTTATGCGTTATATTTGAGTTCTTCACTGACCCATTATTGAAAGTTTCGTAATTTGAATTGAAAACAAGACTCTTCTAAATTCTAATCTGCATTACTTGTCTCATTGAAGCTGGTTGTGTCTGAAGTAAGAACTTCTGTTTTACAGGTGTGATTTCCGGTGCCCTTTTGTACATTAAGGATGATTTCCAAGTTGTCAAGCAGAGCAGTTTCTTACAGGTATTTCTTTATCTGTTCCAAGCTAGTAATAATACTTACTTATTCATGAAAAATGTGATTTTTATTTTCTGTAGGAAACTATTGTAAGTATGGCTTTAGTTGGCGCGATGCTCGGTGCTGCGTCTGGAGGTTGGATCAATGACTACTACGGACGTAAAAAGGCCACCATGTTTGCTGATGTTGTCTTTGCAGCTGGAGCTATCGTTATGGCTGCTGCTCCCGATCCCTATGTCTTGATCGCTGGTCGTTTCTTGGTTGGATTGGGAGTTGGTGTTGCCTCTGTCACTGCTCCCGTTTATATAGCTGAAGCATCTCCATCTGAAGTGAGAGGTGGACTTGTGAGCACCAATGTGTTGATGAT